ACTGTCTGTGCAATCTACACCTGGTACCTGAAACATTTTGGTTTTAAGGGTTAAATAAAGGTGATGTATATATAAGCATTTTAAAAACTATAAAATGTGACAGAAAGGCAAGTAGTAATTTATCATATACAAAGAAAAATGGATTTTTTAAAAAATCAGCCCCAAGGAGGTTTGATGAGTTCCTTAAGGGCACACAAGTAGTCTTGAGCTCTTTCCACTAGTGGCTACAGCAACCAGCCTCACAAGGAAGATTTTACCCAAGTGGGACTCAGACAGGAAAAAAATTCTGATTGAGGAAGTTAGGTGCTTCATTTATTATTATATCATGTCAAGACATTTCTTCTGAAAAACAGCCAAATACCCCACCCACTGAATGGCACAAAAAATGATATTTTGAGGTTCGTTTTATAACAATTCCATTGGTGTTTACATTCAATGAAAGCATTTCTTGAACTACTGTAACATGGCAACCCTTATTACATATAGATTCTGCATTACCTATCTTTGTGTGAGGTTTCTTAATTTTGTTATTTTCTTATAATTCATTTATATTTTCATGAAAAAATGTAATAAAACCTAGTTTACAGAATAGAGAGATTGTACCATAAACACCACAGAATATTAACGTTTGAAAGATAACTTTGGAAGTTATCTATTCCAACTTTCTAATCAGTCTTAATTAATGTTTATTCACGCATTCAGATTATAAACAGAATTTCTGATAGCATTACTACTGTATTCCTTATTCCTATATATTATTAGCCTTACATTCCTCAAATTTTCCTAATATCTCATGTTAGTTATGACTCCGGCATGCTTGAATGTAGAATTAACCTTTATCAAAATACAAAATCCTCTTTTTGGGTTTTTGGGGCTTTCTAAAGTTTCCTCCTTTGAATCATTTCTCCCATTTTTGCCTAGGGCACAGTAATCTAATTCTGGCATCAGAAACCACTGCAAATTCACTTACCCTTAGGTCCAATTTTATGTTTTCAATGTAAAGTAGATACCTGAAAAAAAGATCTAGATTCCACCCTATCTGTCCACTCTACTACAACCAAAACAAACAAACACTCTTATCAACCATTAATCACACTAGTCNCACTCTACCGAGTGAGCCACGGGCCGGCCTTATTATAAACATTTCTATGAATTAGCTCTTTTACACTTTGACATGAAAATAACTAGCAGTGTGAGCAACTTTGGGAAGAAATCTTGTGCAGGACAAGTGAGCACTAGTAGAGTCTTGCAGTGGATGGCCTTTTTACATCTCTTTAACCTTAAGGCAAACCTGTTCATAATGATGCTTTCAAGTATGAAAGCACAATGAAATGCCCACTGAACTCTCAAAGAAAGCTAAAATCACAGTCAATACAATATTAATATTATATGTAATATCATAATATCCACTACCCAACAGTGCTGGGTAAGGGAGAATTTACTGTCTGTGCAATCTACACCTGGTACCTGAAACATTTTGGTTTTAAGGGTTAAATAAAGGTGATGTATATATAAGCATTTTAAAAACTATAAAATGTGACAGAAAGGCAAGTAGTAA